TGGCGGACGCGGAGGTGGTGTGCCGCCAGCTGGGCTGTGGTCCCGCCCTCGCCGCCCTGGCGGCCACCGCCTTTGGCCCTGGCTCCGGGCTGGTGTGGCTGGACGAGGTGGGGTGCCGGGGCAGCGAGGGGTCCCTGCGGGGCTGCGCTGCGGGGCGGTGGGGACGCGGAGACTGCGCGCACAAAGAGGATGCGGGCGTGCGCTGCTTGGGTGAGCCGGGCGGGGCGGGGGGGTGGGGGGGTGGGAAATGGGTCATGAGGCGAGCAGAGGGCCCTGGGATGGGAAGTCAGCCTTGAGTCTTGCTTTGTCGCTTCGCTGGGCTGGAGAGCGGTCCCCGGGTTTAGTGGGTTGGTATCCACTCTGACGTTTTTCTGGGATAAGCCGGTTTGCTGTGGAGGCCTGGTGGGGACATGCATCTCCCCGGATTTCCCTCTAATTTTTTTTGGGAATTCCCTTTTGTTTATCCCAATCCTTGCTCATCTCGGGTGTAAGTGTCATCTGGGTGTTTGCAGGTTCACTTGTTCCCAAAGCCGGCCCCTCATTCTTTTTGCAGAAAACAGTTAACCACAGTAATGAGCTTAATAAAAATGGCAGCAGTGGGTAACTTGACCTGAGCCGCTCTGTGCTCTGGTCACCTCTTGTGACTTGCCCTGGCATCTGCTTGGGGGCCATGTTCCTCATTGTTTTACAAAGGAAGGGGGATGTCCCTTGAGGGCAGATGCCCCCATGGACACCAGCCATTCTGGGGTGCTCTGCGCCCCTAAAAACAGAAGATACCCCCCAGCACTTCCGACTTGCAGGTCCCCCATGAGGGTGAGGGTGTGGCTTGGCCCTCGGAGCCACCCTGTCCTGCCGAGGGTGTGCATGCCCCCCCTTGCCACTCTGCTGGCTCAAGACCTCTCCTTCCTCAGAGCCTGGCCCAGGTTCCCCACCACCTGGAGCACCCTTCTGGACACTCAGGGCTGTCAGTGTCATCCTGGGAGCCCTTCTTGGTTCTCTCCTTCTGGGCCTCTTGGCCTTTGTGATTCTACCTTGAGTCGCACAAGTCATGCAGAGGGGTAAGCAGGAGCCCACCCTGACCCCATCAGCTGGTGTGCAAGAGCAAGAGAAGCTCACAGCTCCAATCTGGTGCTGGGGTCTGGGCAGGCGGGGTGCTCTGCAGTGCTCAGGCCTATGCAGACCTGTCCCCAAAGTCCAAGGAACTGAGAAGCTGAAGAAAGAGGCAGACAAATCCAGTTTCTTAGAAAGAAATGCTTAAAAGGGACTTACAAAGACAAGCCACGTCCATGCCTTGGATGGCTTCTAGCTGAGACAGTGGATGCCCAGGCTGTCATCCCCCAGAACTGGAACTTACGTACCCTAGGGGAAGGGGACGGGTAGAACAATTGCTTAAGGGCAGGATTTACAGTAAGTGCATGCTCTTACCAAGAAACAGTAGATAAAATGGAAATCTTAGAGGCATTCCCAGAACTGGAGTTGATCAGAAGTCAACATGGTGGATCAGCATCCAAGGCAGAGTTGCTTCAGCCTTGAGGCAGGTCTCACTTAGGGCTCCTTTTATAGGCCAGAGAGCATGGCAGACATGTGCGTCAGCCTCCAGCCCTCAGGACCCCAGAAGGTCCCCCTCAGACAGCACATTGGGGCCCATTGGGAAGCATCATGTGGTTTACTGGCCAGGGATGGGAGGGCTCTGGGGATCTGGCCTTGTGGCCATGGTCCCTCCCATCCCAGCCCACACTGAGGGCCTGCATGTGACCACGCTCACCTTGCCTCAGGTCTGGGAAGATCCAAGGTATCTCCTGGAGAAGCCATCTATGATGTCATTGGGGAAATACCGCTAGCAGGACTGTATGAGGAAATCGTGGAGGCTGAGGCCATGCCCCAAGGGGAGTAGGGTGGGGGTGTGGTAAAGGTGGGTGCAGAAGCCACAGGTGGATTTGTGCCCCAGCTCAGGGGCGAGCTCTGGGGTGGGCTGTGGATGCTGACCACAAGATGCAATGAGAGGGGACTCTGACCCTAGGACCTTGGCCTCAGAAGGCTGCTGACCGCAGGGCCTATGGATGCAAGGGTACCCATGGGCAGGGGAGAGCAGGGCCACACCAATGAGGGCAGAGTCAGTGGCTGCAGTCCCCATCGGAGAGGCCTGCCCCGTGGTGGGAGAAGAGGGCCGGGAGGTGTGCTGGGAGCTGTGGGTCTGGCAGGGGCATAGTCCAAGCCCTCTGGACATGTGCAGCTGACTCGGCCTGTTTCCTCACCTGTGGGAACAGTGCTGCTGTCACAGGACGCTTGAGGTGCCTCGAGTGTCGTTGGGCGCTTTCTGGCTGACATGTTTATTATTTCCAGCTTGCCAGATGTGCTTTGGGGACAACTTGCACTTGTGCTGATTTGGTCATGCGGTGTTTCTTGCGCCAGTTTCAGGGGAGGTGTCTAACCTCCTGGAGGAACAGTCTACACATGAGGGGGGAGGAGGTCACAGACCTCTCTCAGGGATATGACGAGGCTGTCTTTCCACTGGAGGAGATGACACCGTGAAGCGCCCTGAGGATGAGACACACCAGCTGGTCGTCAAAATCACATTTCTTCATCTTCTTCTACAATTGTAGTGGATTTCACAAGAGCATCATGGATGCCTTTCTCTTGCAGTGTCCCCCACATCCGTATAAAATCCCATCCTTCCAGACCCTGCTTGGCTCTAGCCCCCTGTCCCATTCGAGGTCCATCTGCTACGGACAGTCGTGCTGTGTAGCCTTCAGATATCCCACGCATTACAGCAAATGCAAATGTGTATAGAAATCAGTGGCCATGTTCGTGGTTTAGAGCTACGTGGTGCCGTCTTCATCTTCTGCTCCACAGCTTGCTCTTGCTACCCAGAGGTGCACTGGAGAGCTCCCATGCCAGAACCTTCCTCTTTCTTGTTAAAAACTCTTCTTAATCGAATCCAAAGTATCTTTTAGATGTTCTGCTTGTGTAATCATGCCATTGGTGGATATTCAGATTTGTCCTCGCCCTCCAATCTGTGACCCTTTAATCTCTCTTTCTGTGCCTTATTTCATGGGCTGTGACCCTTCAGTCCAGTGATGAACAGAGGTGGCCAGTGGAGGCCTTGTCTCATTCATGGACTCAAAGCAAATGTGCTCCACGTTTCATTTCACTATTAAATATAATATTTGATGCTTGCTTTTGTAGATGTTATTTATCAGATCAAGGAAAACCCAGTCTATCCCTAGTTGTTAAAGGTTTTACTTTTTATCATAAGTGTTGACTTTTATCAAATTCTTTTTTGTATCTATTAAGATGATATATGACCAATTTTTATATGTTAAATTAACCTTGAGTTAAACAAATATAACTTTATCATGATATATTATTATTCTTATATTTCACAGGAATTAGTTTGGTAATATGTTGGGTCAATGTTTAAAAAACAAATTGATGTGTAATTTTTTTCTTTTGTAATATTTTTGTTTAATTTTTGGTATGAAGATTATTCAGGTCTCATAAGAGTTAGAACATATTCTCTCTTTTAAAAAATATTTGCTGGCTGGGCGCGGTGGCTCAAGCCTGTAATCCCAGCACTTTGGGAGGCCAAGGCGGGTGGATCACGAGGTCAAGAGATCGAGACCATCCTGGTCAACATGGTGAAACCCCGTCTCTACTAAAAATACAAAAAATCAGCTGGGCATGGTGGCATGTGCCTGTAATCCCAGCTACTCAGGAGGTTGAGGCAGGAGAATTGCCTGAGCCCAGGAGGCAGAGGTTGCGGTGAGCCGAGATCGCGCCATTGCACTCCAGCCTGGGTAACAAGAGCGAAACTCTGTCTCCAAAAAAAAAAAAAAAAAAAAAAATTTGCTAATTTACACTCCCACACAGTGTAAAAGCATTCCTATTTCTCCACATCCTCGCCAGCATCTGTTGTTTCCTGACTTTGTAATGATCGCCATTCTAACTGGTGTGAGATGGTATCCCATTGTGGTTTTGAT